TGTCAGGGAAGACTAGCAAGAATGGTACATTTAAAAAAAAAGAATGCTATAAAAATTTTTTATTGGCGTTTGAAATGAGTTCTAGGGTCCAGTGGTAAAGGCAGCTCCCATTGGCTGTTTTTTCGATGACTAGGTATTTTAGGTTGCCGACAGATAAGTGTCTGCCTTACAGCACAGTAAACTTAAGACAGATCAGCATTCACTGATAATGTGGTTTATTTCAAAATATTAGAAACAATGTTTTCAAAATTTTAAGGAAAGTAGTGCTTGGTAGCCATAGGAAAACAATAGTACTCTGAACAGATGCCTCTTCCCTTGAGGTGGTGCTGTAGGTAGATATCAGTCACCAGAAACACCTCCTGAGAGTCCCAGCACAGAGGAACCTTGCCTATATATCATCAGCCTTCACAATAAATGCTAATTGTGCTCAAATTCTCATTTCCCAACTGGGAGATGCTTCAAAAAGACTCCGGGGGGAGGGGTTTTCTTGACTTCCGGTGTCCCTGAAATATTTTCTTTTACTTGTACCAAATCACTCATCTTTTTCTTATTTCAACCTCACACCAAAGCACTCTTGCTTGAAATCTAAATTATTCAGTCTGGATTAGTCCATTGGGGGCTTTTACAATAAGATGTTAGAGCTTGTGGACTGGGGAGGTGTTTCCACAGGTAAAGCATGGTCTATTCCCCTGAAGCATCTGATTCCAGTTCATAGCACCACCTGTGTTGGGTGACAGCCAGCAGTCCAAGGGATGCCACACCCTCTCTGGACTCCACAGGCACCTGTACAGATGTGGCAAGATGTGGCATACACATGCACAAGCACACACACACACACAAACACACACACACACACACACGCACACAAAAGCACGCTCGCACACACGCACTTGTGCACACATGCACCCAAATAAAACATAAATCTTTAGTATATACTTGGTAGGAAAAACAAGAGAATTTGATTTTGTATAATGGAATTCTGAAATCAAAATGAAAGTCACTCTCACATGATAGTAGGAATCAGCAAGAGCATGCTGTCGCCTGTCTTAGTGGTACTCAGCTCATTCATGAGAGCTCTGATTTCATATCATTATGTCCCAAATATCACCACATTTAAATATCTCCTTGAGGGTTAAGTTTCAGCAGGTACAAACATATATTCATGTATGTATGTATGTATGTATGTATGTATGTATGTATGTGATGTGTATTTGAGGGTAGGACATATGCTTTCATACCAAATCTTAAACATTAAATGGATTTCAACTTAAATAGGCAATATTATATTATTTAATGACAGTTGCTTTTGTCTTAGACATGAACTTGCTTCTTAGATGAAACAAATTCAGAAGATAATTTAAAGAATGCTTTATGCTAACCTGATCCTGTATTATAATAGCTCTCCCAGCTGTCATCATTTACCATCACTAATGATGGACTGTGATATAATTTTAGAATGCTTGTGTCATGAGATGGAAGTAGAAATGCTTACTGGTGATGCCAATATACAGGAAAGGAAAATATAGCATGAGCGCTAGTTAATATTTGTGGATCATAAAAACCAATGTATTAGGGTGTAACTCTTGAAAACTGTGAATATTGTGAATTCCTAAGCTAAGATACCAAAGTATATTTACCAGGAATCTGTATTTAGAGCAGTGGTCCTCAACCTTCCTAATGCTGCAACCCTTTAATATAGTTCCTCATGTTGTGGTACCCTCCAATCATAAGATTATTTTTGTTGCTACTTCCTAACTATAATTTTCTACTTTTAGGAATTGTAACATAAATATCTGATACGCTGAATATCTGATATACGACTCCAAGAAAGGTTGAGACCCCCATGTTGAGAACCACTGATTAAGAGGTTGCAGAGTTGTTAACCTTCTCTCCTTTCGTACAACACTGGATGCAGAGTTGTTAAGGATGACAGCAGAACACACATTCTCCATCCAAGACCGAGTCAGTGAGAAAGAGAGAAAAAGCATTATTTAAGGAAACCCTCCAGAGCTAAATCTCTTGGCTGACAGTTGAGCCCAGATCCACAGGACTACCCCTCCTTCAGATAGCAGTCTCAACCTACAGACGGTTTCTGCCTATGCTTTTAGACAACTGCTTGTACACCAAGCTTTCCACAGCCCTCTCCTTGGGTTAAGTTAACTTATTAAGAAGTTCTGAGAACTAAAGGAAGCAGGTTTAACAATGTGCATACAAGTGCTACAAGAGACAGGAATGGAGAGAACCACAGAGTGATGTGGGGAGTGAAGGATTCATAGCTTCCTGCTCTCTCTAGGTGAACCTCCATCCAGGACTTCACAGATGGAAACTCGGCAAGTCTATCCTTTCTGATTTCATTAGTGACGTCAACGCATTGGTGCGATAGAAGCACTGAGAAATACGTCAAAATGAGATCAGACAAGCAGAGTGTGTTCTGATGACTGAACCGGGAGTTCTGGGAAAGGTCTGTGCACACCTCCCGCATGTACAGTTCAAGGCAGGCAACCTCAGGGATAAGGAGTCTTCTGACCTCTTATCAGACAAAGGGAAGTCAGAGAATTTATGGACAATTCAAAGACAAAGTTCAGGGCTGTTAAAGTTTCTGTGCCATGCCTGGGAGAAGAGTCTCCTATCAGAGAGGAAATTATAAATCAGGACCTACATATGAGAAGCAGATTTATGTATTATAAAAATCTAGTTGCATGGTAATGTTGGAGTATTAAGTGCAAAATACACACTGTTACTGAAGAATGGATCAAATCACTTTGAAAGACAAAAATGTTATAGTTCAACGCACAGGTTTGAATTTTGAAAGTGGCCACGTTCTAATTAGTTGGCCATAGGCAAATTACTTCCTTCCACTCTAACTCGTTCTCTCAACAATCACAAGAAAACTCCTACCTGCTTGAAGAAGGCTTAAGTAAAGTCAGTAAATAGCTTAACTATCCATTAAATATTCTAGGTTAGGACCAATAGGATCAAAACTGAGATAAGATACACTTTAGAGCTTTTATTTATTTAACTGTAAGATATGGGTGATAAATAAATAGTACACAGGTTTCTCTGTGAGGCTGCTTCTAAATGGCTCACATAGAAAACAAGGGTGTACGTAACACTTCCGGAGGGTTTCAGAGCATACCACCCTCCACCGCAATGCTTGCCATTTAAAAGGGACTAAAGCTCCTAAATAGACTGAGCAAAAGCTGATGAGCAAAGAGCTTGTTCATCTCCCCCAAGAGATAATACTTACCATGTACTGAGGACCCTCCCCTGTACATGAAAGAGGAGAATATCCTATACCTGCAGACTGGGAACAGAAGCCAAAATGAATTTGTGCAATCAAACCTTTGGTATGCTCTTTATTGATAGCAAGTTTCCCCCACATATACCCTAGTCACTTCCCTGTAAGTTACTTCCTCTAGATGTTTCTGTGTCTTATTAGTTTGTCATAAAATTCGGTTTAAAATGGCTATAGTTTCTTCTTTGAATGTTTCCTGTGCACACGAAAGTCATTAAATAAACTTGCTTCGTTTTGCCCTTACTTGCACGTTAGTTCAATTTGATCAGCCCAGGTCACAGAACTTCAGAGAAGCTCACTGAAGTATGCACACTGGGAAACAAGAAAATTGCTCCAATTCACTATTCCATGCAAGATTTTGGGGGTCTGTCGTGCTAATAATCATATTTGGAACCTAGGGATGTTTAATTTTTTCTGATATTCTTATTAGAAATGGGAATGTACTGCTGGTGTTTCAAACTATTCCTTAACAATGTATTCGCCATCACAATGTATCCACCTGCACCTAGGAAAATGAAATCTCTTGAGAATAAAAGAGCCTGCAAAGTTGCTATTACATGCACCTGGAAACTGATCCCTTGTTTTCTTTCTCCACCAAGTTTGCAAACTTGCTTTTTTCCTGATTAATATTATTTACAGTCATGGAAATCTGGGGAAAAATAATATGTTCATCAAACAATCAGCAGATGGTTCACATCCTGGGCCAGAAATAATTCTTCTAGACTAGTTTGTTTCAATCATTTGTTTGTACTTATTTTCCACTGGATAAGGTACACATACAAGTAGTGAGAAAAAAAGAAAGTAAAATGCAATTAATTCTGCCCTAGCATTCATATTCTGAGAAAATCTATTTATTTCACTAAATGTAAATATTTTGGACTTTCAGGTGGAAAACATCCTGCTCTTACAAGGTCTCAGAGTGCCCTGACAATACTACACATGATCTTATAGAGCCATCTCCTGCTCTAAGTTATTTACACTGCTGTTATTCTCTGCATGTTCAGTGAGTGACCTGGATGTAACCCAAGTATTCATGCTGACACTATGACAGTGGCAAAGATATTAGCAACTGAGATTATTCCCCACCTTGACATTCCATTATAGTTGAATTTGACCAAGAAACTCATTTTTCCCATAAATAAGCTATTCAATCACAATAACTATTTTATATTCAAGATAATTTTATAATTGATAACATCCTTAACAATCAGGACAAAACAGACATAAATCTAAACATAAAAATTAAAACATACTTAGGGAAAAATTCCAGTCAAGAAATTTTACTTAACCAAAATGGGCCTGCCTTTAAAATAATAATTGTCCAGGCACAATGAGATGCTATGATTTGCAATATACAAGAACTAACTGGTCTATGTGGGGGACATATTGTAGGGGAACAAAGGATAGCCTCCACTGAACAACAATTCTTGTCATCGCTTTCAGTCAAGTGTTTATCAAGAAGCGTAGGAATGACTGTGCACCATTACCTTGCTTGGAAGGGCCTTATGAGGCTCTCCTCGCCACCTGCACTTCCATTATAATAACAGACACTCCTCCTACAGTCACGTGAACCATGGCCTAGCTAGACTCACCAACATTCCCAGAACAGCTGGAATACCATCTCCACAGGTGACCTCATAGAAAGGATTTCAGAGTCAGTTCAAGGTCCTAGAAGCAGATGACATCACAAAGTAGACAGATTTTCCCAAGACCACAAATCAAGAAACTTTACAGCCATCTCTCTCTCACTTCTTTTCATGCTTCTCTGAGAGAGACAATATTTTTCATACAAATCTTCCTCTCTCTTCCTCTCTCCTCAATCTATTCTGCTCACCCTCTGATCTTCTGGGCTGGGCTTTGTTTCAAACTTGTCTTTCCTACCAGCCTTACTGTTTTCCGAAGTGAGGCACAGTTTTTATAGTGCCTTACAACATATATCCAAACTTTTGTCATGGTAACTAATCAGTCTAATTGTTACTTATGCCAATATCTAACTACTATCAAAAATCTACATTACATTTGTCTCTGCCAATTTGTTCATCAGGTAGAGTCATGGTAGCCAGTGCATGAACGAAAGGATGGTATCTTTGACCAGAAAAGGACGCCTTGCTATCATTCCTGCAGGTGAGATCCTAATACCTAAGAAAAAACTCATGGAATGTTTCTTGTTTATGGTTTATTATGCCCCCAAATTGTTATCCTATAGACACACAACCAATCTACAAAGAGGAGTGTGAACAGTCACTGTGAGACAATGCTGACTACTGAGATTATATAACACAGTATCTTCTTTATACACGTGAACTGATGACACCAGCACTGCCCATCAGACAACTGAGATTCAACCATTGTTGGGCTGACATATTCACAAGGTCGGGAGATACATTTAACTGAATTTGAGGCCGTGTGCTTACGTTTGCTCTTTTCGGTGTATCTTCTCCCAGTGGACCTCTCCCTCTGCAGAGCTCTCACTGCTTGGACTCTGACCAGATTCTTTTCCCCACAGATACCCATTTCACTTTTACTTTATATAACTTACACTGAAATTTTAGAGAGAGAAAATGGATGGCTTCAGAACACTCCACCACAAAGCATGCCACTTAGGCATAGCAGGTATTTGAGCCAATGATGACAAAGAAACAGTAAACGCAGGAAGGACTCGTCAGCTTTCCAAGACATAACAAATCCTTCATATGTACAAAAACCATCACTGACTAGTCTGGACACTTGACAATTGGAGTGGACACTGAAATGGGTCAGGATAAGTAGGAGTAGCAATGTAACCTGTACCCTTTATTAATTCCCAACATATATTTTACTTTCTCAGAAGTTATTATGCCTTACAAGCTAAAACTCCCTTTTCCCTTTGTGTTATCAATTTTCACAGTTTCCTATTCCTTCCTTTTAAAATTTGAAAGCTCTTGGTACTAGTTGCTTCTTTGCTTCTGTTGGTCTTATCACATGAAGTCTTTCTTGTATCTTGAAAATTATTAAAGAAAATGTATGTTCTCTGGCAATCTGCCTTTGTTTTTTTCAATCAGATGCACAGATACACAAAACTTAAAAAGACAAGATTTGCTTGTTTTGCTTTTTGTTTGTTTTATTTTCCCTTATACTTGGTATATAAAAAACAAAAACAAAACACAAATGATTTTCTCCAGTGGAGTGTCATTGGGGTACATAAACCACATTTCAGGGCAGGCTTCATGCTCAGGAGTAGTTAGCCAACACAATGAAAACAAATTCAGTGGCTTGGTGTGTGTGTGTGTGTGTGTGTGTGTGTGTGTGTGTGTGTGTGTGTGTGTGTGAGTGTGTGTGCTGTGTGTGCACGTGAGCAGACACCATTATTTTTAACTCTTGTTTATTGTTCCTTTTTGTTTGTTTGGACTATTTTTGAAAATTCATAGAGATAACGTAAGGTTGAGAAGGAAGGGAAGTGGGGAGGATCTAGGAGTGGGAGAAGGGAAAATGTGATCAAAATACATTGTCTGAAAAAAATTAAAAAGAGAAAACAATAAGTATGTTTTTTCTATCATTAGTATTAATATTTTGGTTTCTTGCCCACTCTCTTTTTTTAAGGCAGTAGTAGCAGATATGAAAAGAAATATAAATCTCAAGCCCATTTAATGATCTGTGTATCCACTGACACTAAATCTCCCCCCAAAATGAAAAAGGGAATCTATGTAAACCATGGAGAAATTGTTCTGGTGGAAATGAAACACTGCAAGAATTCACTCTGCAACTGATCTGGTAATCTCTGCCTAAGTGATGATTCTCAGGAACCAAACTCTGTGATGCTGACAACAACCTGCACAAGGAAATCGTTATGGACCAGGTCTCTATCAACACATCACACTGATGCAGGCTCTTTATGGGCTGATTCCCTGGCTTAGCTTCTTTGGGAGAAAGTAAGAAAACACTCTATTCAATGTTAGACTTTAAGTTGCCTCCCTTTAATCCAATGAAATCATTTTCTCATCAGCAAAATGCAACTTCCCTGGAAAATATTACTCCGTTGAAATAGATTATTAGACTAAACTTTATATAAGTAAACATTTAAATGAAATAGTAGCAAATCATATGATTAATATAAAATCCAGATATTTTTCCAGTGTTAGGAGATTATATTTTAGTCTAGTCAAACAAGTTGATTGTGCTTCTATTTCACAAAAGGGGAAGAGTGGTTATCAAAAATCAAAGCAATGATAGTCTTTCTTTGGCTATTAGTGTGTATATTGCATCTATGAGACAAGCAGTCATCAATAAGCATTGGTACAGCATATCGTGAAAGTGCACATCAGAGGTAATAAAAAGGAAAGGGGAACTAAAACTTCAACCTCATAATGCCACTGCAAATATGCGTCAGTAGATTCTCTGCCTCTCTGTACTCCATAGAAATCTTCAGACATTTACCATTATGGATGAGAAGACCAGACTGCTGTATTTGTCTCATCACTAAGGACAAAGGAAAGTGAAAAAACTGCCAGTCATTTCACCTGAAAGAAAGAAACAGAAACTCATTTTCAGAGCACTGAGAGAATAAGAAATTGTCTACGTACTACACAGGGAAGTTCCAGCTACAAGAAAGTAAGATCTTTGTAGAATCTGGGAAACCAGATGCAAATATGCCTGTGAATGTTTCTAAAGCTGAGGGCTGTTATTGTTTCAGAGTGCTTGATGAATTTAAACCAAGAATAAGATTGGAGGTGGAGACTAGATCTTCCTAAACCCTAGTCTTTTGGTAGAAAAACAAACAAGCATAGCCAAGGTGTAAAATATGGGAAGATATTCCAGAGCAGAGACATTGATAACTCCAAAGATTTAAAAAGAAACTTCAAAAGGCACAGACTCCATTGTAAACATAATTACAAAGCCGTCAATGTCTTGGAAGTTGGATCTAATTTAATTAATGTTATGGCTGACAGAACAGATATCAATTGCATGTGACTTATTTGCTTTTAATTCTTAGCATGAAAGCACTGCATTTCCAAAAATAATACTAACTAAAGTGAAGTAAATACTACTAAAAGTCATATTTGCTGATAATCCACAGTTTTAAAAAAGTGAGATTTTTGTTATGATTTTAAATATTAAAATACAGCAATTTTTTCAATAACATTCCATTGACACATTATTAACAAGAGAGTAATTCTATCAAATATCTAAAAACTGACCATGTATATATGACTATGAAACCATTTAAGAATTTTCAACAAAACTAGGGTAAAATTGTCGTTGTCATATTTTCCAAGTAGGAAAATAAGCATTAGAAAAAGTTTCAGTGATTTGCTTCACAATACAACGAGGAAATCCAGGTCCAGCCACCTCCCCCTAAGTGATACACTGTTGTTACAGAGGTAAATTGGACTCCCATAGAACAATGTGAGGTGCACTCTCACCCTGAACTCTTGGGGAAGGGTCTAGGCCCTGCCCTATATGAAATGACAGACTATGGACACCCCCATGGAGGGCCTCACCCTCCCTGGGGAAATGAGGGGATAATGGGGAGGGGGTGGGGGGAGGGCACGGGAGGAGGGGAGGGAAAGGGAGAGGGACCTGGAACTGACTTGTGAAGCAACCTTGTTTCCTACCTAAATTTAAACTGGAAAATAAAATTTAAAAAAATGGCAAAAAAAATTGAAACCAACATAAGACACTTGAGACTGAATGTTTTGTATTGCACAGCATGTAGATGATGGAGACCTTTCTGCTGGTACAAGTAACCAAAAATTTGGAGTTAGAATCCAGTTGGCTTGGGCATGGGAATGAGGAGGAGAATAATTAAGTCCATATCTAGATATCTTCAAAGATATCAATTTAGGGCTGGGCATTGGTGGCCCACACCTTTTTTTTTTTTTTTTTTTGGTTTTATGAGACAGGGTTTCTCTGTTTTGGAGACTGTCGGTCCAGCCTGGCCTCGAACTCACAGAGATCCGCCTGCCTCTGCCTCCCAAATGCTGGGATTAAAGGCGTGGGCCACCAACGCCCGGCGGTGGCCCACACCTTTAATCCCAACACTCGGGAGGCAGAGGCAGGCAGATCTCTGTGAGTTCGAGGCCAGCGTGGTGTACAGAGCAAGTTCCAGGACAGCCTCCAAAACAATACAGAGAAACCCTGTCTCGAAAAACCAAAAAAAGAAACAAAGATACCAATTTAGAGTCCAGTCCCAGGTGTCCCACCGGCTTGGAAACTCCTTGCCTGGAGGGATATGGCAGTGAGCAACTGGGCTCAGCACCTAAGCAAGCTTGACATCCCGCCTTTCCCCAGCCCCTCGCTGAGGGGAGGGGATGCCTCGCAGGTAGCCAACTGTCTGCTCCTGGAACAAGCCTTCTCCCGCACCTGCCATGGAGCCGGCTGAAGGCGGCCCCTGGGCCCACAGCAGAGCGGTGCTCGCCGGCCTGGGGAGGCTACTGAGCTGCTCATGCTGGTAAGGGTGGATCACCCAGGGAGACGTTGGCAGGAACTCAAGGCAGGAAACTAGAAGCTGGAACTGCTGCAAAAACCTTAGACTATTGCCTGCTTTCTAACCAGAGCTCAGCTGGCTTACTTATCCAGCCTAGGCCCAACCGCCTAGGGATGCTGCTGCCCACAGTGGCCAGGGCTCTCCACATCAATTGTCAATCAACACAATTAGCCAATCTGATAAGGCAGGTTTTCCATTGACATTGCATTGACCCAATTAACTCTAGGTTGTATCTAATTGACAGATACAGTTAAAAAAAACAAACAAAAACAAACCAGCACAGCTGACTTCCTAAGGAAAGCTACTCATGTGACCTAGAATTCCCGTGTCTTTAGCTATCAAATGATGAACATAAATGAATTGGCTTTTAAAGCTGTCTCCAATGTACACATTTCGTAATTGGCAGTATTGTTTAATGCTTTTAATAAACATTTAACACATAAAAAAAAGATCAGTTTAGACTCCGATATAGTGCTCTTATCTTTGAACTTCCATGCAACAACAGGTTCTCATTAGCTACATGATAAAAGGACTGAGTACAACAATCCAGGTTCATTTTGTGTTTGAAGTCATCCACTAATAATCAGAAAAATAGAAGCTTACACACACACACACATCCACTCAAACTTTTCTTTCAGTGGGATTTAAGAATCAGAATAAGACCTTTGCACTGAGACCAATACTTTACCTAATCAAATTAACTTTCAATGCTGGGGAAATGGACCAAAGGGTAAAGTGAATGCTACATAAGCATGAGTTTGGACCCCCAGCACCAGCTTAAAAGTCATTTCATAGTGCACATGCTAACCCCAGAGCTGGGAGTTAAAGACAAGAGAATTCTGGAACCTAGTTAAAATGGAGTGTTCAGGGTTCAGAGGAATCCTGCCTTAAACAAAGAAGAAGTTGACTGGATGTCAATCTGTGGCCTACACACACACACACACACACACACACACACACACACACACACACACACACACACCTCCCTGTGTAGAAAGAATAATAAAAACCCAAAGACAGATATTGGGGTTCAAGTTGAAGATCAGAGAAGCAGAGAAGCCAAGCCAATAGCTCTTATTTCTACCCAGGTTGAAGCAATCCTGCCCTCAACATGACTGGAGACTAACTGCTCTAACGTGGCCGGAGACCAAAATGCCCCAGACTGATTATCTGTTCCTATCTTACATACCTCAACTGCTGGGATTAAAGGCATATGATCTCAAGTGCTTGAGTTCACCTTTGTGTGAGCCGTTTCTCTTTTAGATTGGATCAATTTCATGTTGCTCAGTGTGGCCTTGACCTAACAGAGATCCTTCTGTCTCTTAAATCCTGGGATTAAAGGTGTATACCACCACTGCCTGGCTCTATGGCTAGATACTATGGCTGCTGGGATTAAAGTTGTGTATCACCACTGCCTGACCTCTAAAGAATACATGAAGATGTATGAGTACCAAACATCAATGCATAGAAAAGTAAAATTTGTTAGATGTAAATTATAGGTGAGGAAAATTTACGAATATGAGCAAAATTAAAATATATGGTTGAGTGTGGAGTAAAAGTTTCTGTTATATTATAAAGTGTTCCAGCTCTCAGCCTATTCTCTAATCCTATGAGAAGCACAGTTCCTGAGAGGGCAGACATTTTCAAAGTAATTTTAATTGTGTTGCTTTTAATATGGACCCACTATAAACTATCGTCCATTTTGTACGTCAAAACTTCAGTCCTTCTATGCCTCCTAAATTTGAATGACTTGATTCTGTAGCATAGGGTAGTTACATAAGGAAAATTATAAAAATATCTGAATTATCCTAGGAACTTGAGAAATGGATAAATGGTTAAGAGCATTCACTGCTCTGTCAAAATATTAGAGTTCAGATCCTAGGACCCACATCAAACAACTCAGCAAGAAATTCCTGAAATATCCTAGAACTCTCTAAATGGAAAAACAGAGGTAGGTTTTGGCAGCACCTTTCTTGGACAGAGCTATATCATCAGACTGAATGGGGACTACAAAACTGACTATCTGTAGGGACTTGGGCCCCTCTAATCACTGACTGGGTAGTTTCAGTTTGCAAAGTATATAAAAATCCTAAATATTATGAACTCAGTTTTGACATACTTTTGAAGGAGACAAAACAATAGACAACATATACTCTTTGGAGTCATTTATTTAAGGATATGTCCAACACTTTTACTGGCCTGTAGAATCTGCAGTTTCATGTATTGAAGGGCTGAGGAAGTGGTTGGTTTTAAATGGACCTGGTAGCAGACATAACACAGACAGAGTGATGAGCATTATGAGTGAGGTAACTCACTGTCAGCTCCTGATTCAGACAAGTCAGGAGCAGAGTAGGAAACACAGACTGAGGCCATTAGTAGAGACCCACTTTTGTTGCAGTAGCGAATTCCTCTGCTAATGGGGGCCATGCATCTGTTTTTATTAGTTATTAAATCCTCTGTTGGTTCAGTTCCTGGAGGACTGTGGTAGATCTTCTATAGGTCTGCTGGAGGGGAGTAAGACACGGCTCGTGAATGAATGATTCAGCTGGAAGGCATAAGCAGCTCAATTGTTACGAGGGTGAAAATCAAGACACTGATAGGAACTTTCCAGTTGACCCAGGGCAGGAGGGGACCCTGCTCCAAATGATATGACAGACTTTGAAGATTCACCATGGAAGGCCTCACCCTCCCTGAGGAGCAGAAAGTGTTAGAGGGTTAGTGGGAGTCAGGGGAGGATGTGAGGGAGAGAGAACTGGGATTAACATGTGAAGCAAGCTTGTTTCTAAGTTAAATTTATAAAAATACCCTCACAACTAGAATGGGCCATGTAGAAGAAAGAATATCTAGGATTTAGATTAAGTAGAGGATTAGAACACACAAGAAATAATATGAAAAAGGTTTTTAAAGTACAGGAAAGGAACATGTAGGAATTGGGGGACACTACCAAGGGACAAGAACTTAATGTTACAGTCATAGATGGCGAGAAGAATCCCATGTTAAGAGCATAGACCATATCTTCAACAAGATCATAGAAGAAAACGTCCTCAAAGTAAAACAAATCTATATAGATACTAGACTCTCATTGAACACCAAATGAACAAAACCACAAAAGAAACCACCCTCTAGTATATTACAATTAAAACATTAAATATGAAGAACAAAGAAAGAGTATTGAAAGCTGAAAGAGAAAAAACACAAGTCACTTATAAAGGAAAACCCAAGACCTACACAAAGAACCAGAGGCAACTAAGGAATGCTGAGAGTGGCAGAAACGGTCTTCCCCACAGATGAGCCTCCTACCTGGCTAACCAAAACCAATTGGTACTAAAGCTATGTACACACAAGTAAATATAAACAAATAAAAATAAACCATCTTGTATTTATATATTTATCTGTTTACATATATGTGTAATAATAACAGTTAAATAAAAAGAGGCCTTCAATTGAAGAGGAAACAAGGAGGGCATGGGTAGAGTTGAAGGAAGAAAAAAGAAAGAAGAAAATTATGTAATTGTACTTCAATTTAATTAAACAAAATTAATAAGTAACTTTTGCTTCATCTTTCCCAGAAACCTCTGATGTCTTCAGTCTTTCTTCTCTATGCCAGAGCACTCTAGACTTATAATAGCGTTTAAAACACACTATGTTGTCATTTTCTTTTTTTTAATTGAAAATAGATTTTTCTCTCGTGCAGTTTTCTCTCCCTCCACTCCTCCCAGAAATCTCCTCTCCTCTCCCCCAGATCCACTCCTTCTCTGTTTCTTTCACATTCAAACAAACAACAAACTAGCATTTGGTAATACTGAATACCAAGCTTCAGAGAAATATATAGTCAGTGTGCTATTGAAGCAAATGGATTATCATGTGAATGATTGGATGAGATTGGTCATTTGGGAAAAACAAATTTAACTTGCCAATTAGGAATGAGTGATAGGATAACTAGCTTACTGTAAAAAAGTGGTTTCTGAAGACATAAGGACAAAAATAGGTAAGGTTGTCATTTGTAAAGTTTATCTTACTATAAAATAAAGATATACAAATTTTATTTAGAAAGATATAAACTTCATAGTTCTGTAACTGGTCTGACTAACACTTCAAACATACTTTCTTCATAATAAATTTTATCTCAATACTTACTTAATCATTTTTAAACTATGACAAACTACTAATAAAGGCATTCCTTTACAAGTAATTTGATTTTATTCAATATTCATTCTTCTGAGACAAAAACTAATATCTGAGTATGGTTACCTTGTTTGCTGCCAGTCTTCCTTAGAAGAATAGACACTTAGCCTCTAAATATCAAAATAGAATCTCAACTAGTAAAATAGAATTACTTTTGTAAAATAGGATCACATTTTGCTTTTCTGAGTTAACACAAGACTATAACAAATATTTCAAATGCCGGGAGCAGATATAACTAAGGGGCACCCACTGATACTTGCCCTAGGAAAGTCAGTGGCCCCTAGAGCAGATGACAGAGCATGTGAGTGACAGCTATGAAAAAGACAATGCTTTTTCCAGGTAGGAGATAGACTGCTGCATCAGGTTCTACATCAGCATTTATACAAATATTGTTGCGAGTGTACACATTAACATTTTCCACATTTTCAATATCAACTCTCTCTTTACAATTCGTGTTGGTATAACAGATGCATTTAAAATGCTCAGAAAAGTACTTCAGATCTCCAATTCTGGGGTTGCCAACTACTTCAAAAGCTTAATTTCTAAGTTCTTTGGATTCAACTGAATATAGTGATCTGAATTCTCATCTTTCCTTGTACAGATGCCTTGATGATCGCAAAGTGTTTGACTGCACATTTTGGCTGCTAGGGTGACGTTGATCATGTATGGATTCAGGGTATTCTTCATGTACTTATGGAGGGTTGGACAACCTGTCTGTAAAATAATAAAACAGTCAGTGTAGCAAGGCACACTTTCCTCTGTGAATAGATATATATTAAAGAAGCATAGAGCATCAGACTGAACAAGTGGTAGGAAATACTCTTTTTCACTCAAACAAGCAATGTGATTCCAACTGTATTTTAACATTTGTAAGTTTTGTAGGCCATTTAATTCCACTGAAAAATTGTTTAATTTTTTATCTTATCCTATACTTCATCTTTTCCAATAATTCATGAATTAATCAAGATTATGGTAATTTTACAACTGTTGGATATGGGCTTTTGAGGTTAACTTGCCCAAAAGTAGTATTGCCTACATTAATGACCATGTCTGCCAATCTATGCTATCTCAAATTTTGTAAATCTTAGTTTGCTATCTGGGTCACATAAGGAAAATTAGCTAAATTGGTTATGCTTCAGTTTCATCCCTTGTAAATTAGAGATGGTTTTTGAGTCTGCCTCATAGGCTTATTGGGAAAACAAATGATAAGATGTACATGGTATCTACCATTTCTTCAGTTAACACTCAATAAATCATAAATAATTTTAACAAGAATCACATTTGTCAGATGAGTTAAACATTCTTAAACACATGCAAAATTGATGTCTCAAAATAATAAAGTATGTTCAACTGTGTATGTTTTAACTAAATGTTATACAGTCAAAGGTGTGCATACTGACAGTTCTTTAACAATTGTGTAGACAAGAGAGATGAAGAGCAGAAGTAGTCCGTCTCAACATTACTGTGTTCTTAAATTTGGTCACTGACCATTAGAAAATACTATTGATCACGATATACCATGATCAACAACTCTACTGAATGAGCCAACTGTGGTAGCACATTGGCAGGAAATGCAAAGGCTCTTGGCAGCTCTGACTTGAGTTTGCTATTGTGTTGAGTCTCTATTTTTGGTTCAGTGATGGCCTGGAAAAGGTATCTGTGCTCCTGTCCCCAGAAGCTGGGACTATGTGAGCTTACAACGTAGGAGACTGTAGATATGGTTAGAAGCACATTTAAAGGGGAATCCGAGGAAGCATGAAAAGTGATTGATTAGAACACTGAGCAGAAATGACACATAACAAAGGAGGGGTGATGACGAAAGTAAAACTAATCGTAGATTTGGGAAAGTAACTGAAATATGTAGAGTCTATAAGGGACAATGTTAGGAAAACACCACAAAGTGGGAAATAGTGACATCAAAGTTGAAGTCTTTATGTCCTTGAATGAATCAATCATACTGCAGACTTTTGGGTGGAATGATAAAACAATAAACAGCTAAGATTAAAGTGACATTAAAAACAATTATGAAAACTAAAGAGTATCCTCCCAGCCTACTCACTGTAGATGCCTGGTTGTTTCCTCCTCAGAGGAAGAAGTTCTCAATTCCTTTATTTTTTTAAGAAGACAGTATACAGAAATCATAAACGTACCTATTACTGAGTTAATATCCTTGAGAAAGTATTTATAATTTTGGAAGAACAACAGCAAGTATTTGGGATAAAACTTTGCAAGATTATAATTTTAAGACAATTTTCCTCAACTCAAAAGATTTTACCAGGAGGTATATACCATTCCCTGACATGCATTTTCTGTTACTTACTTTCTACTGATGGTCACACTAAAGACAATAATATTGTGTGTGATGGGTTTTTAAAATGTAAGACTTTGAAAGAATCTAGCAAATGCAGTTGTTTAAACACTTTTATGTGATATATTGATGTTCTCTAAAAGACAAATGTTCTGCTCCTCAAAAGTCTCTTCTGGCCTGAGAATATAATATCTGTTCTCTGCGATAGCAGGACAGGACTCCTGAGCAATGAGCTTCTCTGAGAGTCTCTGTATTCATTGTTTGTATTACCACATCAATTACACAAAGAAAATCAGCCTCAGCTTAGCAATGTTAAACTCACATACATTGACACACATACATATATACACACAAATATATGTGCAAAAACTCTTTTACTCAAGAGATTTGTAAAAATGTAGACAATATTTAATATGGAGAATTAAATTACGGAGACCTGTTGTGTGACATTAAATATTATGTCAAAAAACTGAAATTGTAGTTCTGGTTTTGCTACTTACAAACCACGGAGCCTAGAGAAGAACTTCAGTTAATCTCACTGGAAGACAGGTACAACATTTTCTACTTCATAATTTAAAAATGCAGTATATTTTGATTTAGCTAATATCGAGCATTTACTTATTGCCAAGAGTAATGCTAATTTTATTAACATAAAGTCTTCAAAAGTATTAAAGTATAGAATTCTTTTTCTATTTCCCACCAACATGTTACCTTGACATGTTGTGCTATAGATATAGAATCCGATATTACAACTCCACTGGTCCCCAGAGCAACAGCTTCACCAATTGTATTCACAAGATCATCCTAACAAAGGTGATACAAAGAGTTAGCAGGAAGTAATCAGTGGAACTATTTACACAGGACAACTTCACCAAGCTAAGCATGCTGACCTAACAATAACACATTACATACTTCAACAGTCTTTAAATATTTCATTCAGGCATTTCTTTGCTATATAAGAATTTATCATTGTTTTAATGACTTCTGCTAGCAAAAAGACCCAGATCCCTGGAAGAAGAAGAAAAAAGAATAGTTAAAATATTGTCTACATTTTGCAGAGTTTTTTTCACAGTTGCTAACAGATCATATGATTATATTAAGCACTAAAAATTTAGTAATTTTGCCTCCTTTGGAGAACATAGAACTACTGATGGGTATATTCCTAAATAAAACATAAAGCCGAATTACACTTTTGAATAACTTACATTCCTGTTGACACTATTTCTGCACAGTAGCACATAGCTGTAATTCTTTGATTTACTCACAATAGAAAGGAAGTTCCATATCCGGTCAGAAAAAAAAAACAGGTGTATACAGAAAAACAGGAAGTGGATTATTTTCTGCACGCACTTTAGAAATCCTGATGCCTTCCAATACACGGTTGTGGTTGTAGAGTTTTGCATTTGGGGATAATTCCAATTCACTCTTCAGGTAAGTCAATGGGTAAAGGGCAGTGCTTTCTTTCCATAACCAGGTAAGATTATTGTTTCTGACTATTTCTATACTAGGACATTTTCCACTGTATCCTGGCCATGTATAGTTTTGATAATTATAACAATCGGGAAAAAAGAAAATATCCCCAGAAGTATTGGGGCCGAAGATTTTTCTCCAATTTTAATGTCTCTTCCATGAACTTTCTTCCTGCCTCTTCAAATTGCTCTCTGGCTTTTACAAGGACGTGTGCAGTGTCCATACCTGGATTTTGGGTCTGTACCAATTGAACAGACTTAGTCTTATAAATGTCCTTGGGTGTCCAGTTTCGATCCCAGGTGGGCCTCCACTCTTCCCAGTCAATGACAGCTAAGTCCAATTGGTCTACTGGAATATAATACTCGATGTCAGTCTTAGTTTTGTCCAAGTGCTCTTGAAAATTCACCTGCTGAGGTACTCCTCCAAATATTCTGTCTTTTTCTCATCTATATACGGATACTTTCCAAGTCGGTCAGAATAGAATATTGTGACAGCCTGCCCTGTGGCAGTTTTTCAGGGGCTTACTACTAAAGAGAAGAAACTCATATCCAACACGGAACTAATATTTCCAATACAAGCTTCAGCTGGGACATTCCAGGCCCAAAGGAAAGTCTCATTTGGCACAAGTGGTGCTGCCCTATAAGTCACAGTCAAGGAACAAGGAATCAGAAGGAAGATTATTAACACTGTCTGGTATATCCCCCCAGAATCCACAAAGCTCTTCCAAAAGACGTGCTTAAATCGTAGCGCTCTCATTGCAGAAAGTAATCACTGGGTAAACACTTATTTCTTCTTACACACTTAGGTTTGTTCAGTATTTGATGCAAAAGATAAGAACCACAGTGACATGAGGTCACTCTGACAGATGACAGTATGATGACTGCTTTATGTTGAAGACTATTCTTCTTGTGTCACATTTCAGGAATATTTTGCAGCAAGTTCAATCATCCAGAACTGAAAAAAAAAGACAAATATGGAATTCACTATAGCCACGAGGGCTTTGTCAACACCTCCATGTTCTATGCAGAGAACATCACTCAGCTTCAAAACATAGAATACCTACTATTGTGTTTAAAACAATAAGATTTTTTTCTATTCTATATAATACAAAATCTGCAAGTCTTCTAAAATCATCCCTGTTCATACACAGAACCGAATGTAAATATTTTCCCTTTTATTATGTATATAAAATATTGTATCTAGCAATGCTTTAACAAAAAACAGTTGAAAAAATAAATTCTTGTCTATTGGTCTTAAAATACCACTGTGTAATGCTCTATTAAATTTTGAAAATAACCTCTCACATAATTAAAATGTTTTTCAGATATGAAAGGAATTATCTTAACTTTGGAAATCATAAAGCCCTATGCATACACTTAGATTGAGGGACTATCTTTAAGTCAGTCATGAGAACATATACACACAACAAAAATGGATACAGGAAGTTTTACTTATGGGTATAGTATAATGATCAAAGGAAAAGAGGCTATAGACTTGAGAATGAGGGGAGACAAGAAAGTATTTAGGGGAGAGCATGTGTGAGAGACCTGAAGGAGAAAAGTTAAGGGGAAAGTTATGCAACCATTTTACTTAAAAACCTATAAAAATTGGAGATCATGTATTACTAACCTAATAATTCCAAAGAAATACTTACCAGCAGTTTTCATTTAGATAATGCAGAAGTGTTTGGGGACAGTACCAATAAGCAAAGTCTTTGTCAAAGACAGAGTCAATACAAAAAATGAAAGAAGAGAAACTTCTCTAGCAGAATTCAATCTGTAGAAGTTCAGAAACACCCATACATGTAAATGCCCATGCACACACTTATCACTTGTTTAGGTTCTCACACTTTCACATTCCATAATCTAGATATGATAGTTGGTAAATTTTAAAAAATTCGATACACTCTTGGATATCAGATATTTGTGGAAGATATCACCACAAAATAATGGTGGAACATCTATATTTACAATTAAACCACCCCTTAATATTACCCAACAGATTGCTATTTTATCATCAAAAGAGATCATCTGTGTTTTGTTGACAAAAATAGGACAGTGAAGCTTCCCCTTCACAGATGATTTAGTTAGGCTCTCCACATTGAGAATGCCTTCAGACTAATCCAATTAGCAAGAATACTTTAAAAAGAGCCTAAATAGCACGTCCATATCCCATTCATCATAGGTAAAATGGAGCTAATTGCAAGCATGATGATCCAAGACAGTCTACTCGTAGCACTTTCTCAAATTTAAGATCAGACCTGTCAGTGATACACCTGCCACAAATTGAATTTAATAGTTGTAATGGGCATTTCAATAACAACAACAATGTTAATAAATAACTGAAGTAGATTCATGTGGAATAAGTTCCTCTAAGCTTGATATCCATATGTGAATACATACCTTGCTTGTCTTTCTGTGATACAGTTACCTCACTCAGTATTTTTTCTTCCAGTTCCATCCATTTGTCTGCGAATATCAAAATTTCATTGTTTTTTCTGCTGAATAACACTCCATTGTGTAAATGTACCAGATTTTCTCCATCCATTCTTCAGTTGAGGGGCATCTAGATTGCTTCCAGGTTCTGGCTATTACAAACAATGCTGCTATGAACATAGTTGAACATATATCCTTGTTGTATGAATGTGCATTTGGGTATATGCCCAAGAGAGGAATTGCTGGATCTTTAGGTAAACTGGTTCCCATTTTCCCAAGAAACCATCATACTGATTTCCAAAGTGATTGTATAAGTTTGCACTCCCACCAGCAAAGGAGAAGTGTTTCTCTTTCTCCACCTGCTCTCCAGCTTAGACTATTATTGGTGATTTTGATTTTAGCCATTCTGGCTCATGTAAGATGGTATCTCAGAGTTGTGTTGAACACTTTCTTAAGTGTCTTTCAGTCATTTTAGATTCCTCTGTTGAAAATTCTCTATTTAGTTCTGCACCCTACTTTTTAATTGGATTGTTTGGTGTTTTGGTGACTAGGTTCTTGAGTTCATTTTATATTATAGAAGTCAACCCTCTGTCAAATTTGGGGCTGGTGAAGATCTTTTTCCTTTCTGTAGGCTTCCGTTTTGTCTTGACTAACTGTGTCCTTTGCCTTACAGAAGCTTCTCAGTTTCAGGAGGTCCCATTTATTAATTGTCGATCTCAATGTCTGTGCTACTGGAGTTATGTTCAGGAAGTGGTCTCCTGTACCAATTTGTTCAAGGGTACTTCCTACTTTCTCTTCTAAGAGGTTCAGTGTGGCTGGATTTATGTTGAGGTCTTTGATCCATTTGAACTTAAGTTTTGTGCATGGTGATAGATAAGGATCTATCCGCATTCTTCTACATGCCAGCATCCAGTGACACCAGCACCATTTGTTGAAGATGCTTCCTTTTTTACATTGTATAATTTTAGCTTCTTTGTCATAAATCAGGTGTTCATACATGTGTGGCTTAGATTCCATTGGTCTACCTGTCTACTTTTGTGCCAATACCAAGCTGTTTTCAGGACTATAGCTCTATAATAGAGCTTGAAGTCATGGATGGTGATGCCTCCAGAAGTTCCTTTATTGTACAGGGTTGTTTTGACTATCCTGGGTTTTTTGTTTCTCCATATAAAGTTGAGTACTGTTCTTTCAAGGTCTGTGAAGAATTGTGTTGGAATTTTGATGGGGGATTGCATTGAATCTGTAGATTGCTTTTGGTAAGTCTGCCATTTTTTACAATGTTGATCCTAACTATCCAAGAACATGGGAGATCTTTCCATTTTCTGGCATCTTCTTTCATTTCTTTCTTTAAAGACTCAAAGTTCTTACTATACAGGTCTTTCACTTGTTTTATTAGCATTACCCCAAGATATTTTATGTTGTTTGTGGCTATTATAAAGGGTGATGTTTCTCTTATTTCTTTTTCAGTGCATTTATTGTCTGTATATAGTAGGGCTACTGATTTTTTTGAGTTAATTATCTTTTGGTTTTTTGAGACAGGGAGCCTGTCCTGACCAGACTGGCCTCAGTGATTTAAGGATCTGTTATATCAGATGCTATAAAAGATGGATGAAGAGATATGTATGGTCAGATTGGGAGAAGCAGGAAAGAGTTTCACTGTCTTTCTGTCCAGGACTCCCCATTAATCAGAGGTCAGAGAACTCCTAAACTCTGTTCTTTCAGGTTTTTATAGTGACTTCATTGAACAGTCATGACTCAAGTATCAGCAAATATGTTAAAATGACATTATACAAGAGGGAAATGATCAAATGCCTATAAACTGAGCCTAGGAAGGGTAGGCAAGGATTGTCATTCTTCATGGCCTGTTTGTGTAACCTTCTGCCATATGTAGTGTGAAACAAGACACTTCTAGAAATGAGCATAGCCTTGTCATCTCTAATTAGATTAAAGAGAAATCAGAGAATTTATTACCAGTTCAAAAACAAAGAGCAAGAACAATTAGAAAACCTATGACTTCTAGCAGAAAGTAAGCATAAAGTGGAACCTAAAGATAAAAACCAAAATTTATGTCTTATCATGTCACAGTTAGGTACATATTTGTGTGTACACTGATGTATTCATTGGTGTGTGCTGAGTAAAAGTACAAAATACATATACAAAACACATATTTATACCATAGAATCAAACAGATTGGCCAGGCAGTAGTGGCACATGCCTTTAATCCCAGCACTATGAAGGCAGAGGCAGCCAGATCTATGTGAGTGCAAGGCTAGCCTGGTCTACAGAGTGAGTGTCAGGACAGGCTCCAAAGTTACACACAGAAACCCTGTCTCAAAGAAAGAGAGAGAGGGAGAGAGAGGGAGAGAGAGAGAGAGAGAGAGAGAGAGGGGGGGGAGAAGAAGAAGAAGAAGAAGAAGAAGGAGGAGGAGGAGGAGGAGGAAAGAAGGAAGGATGAAGGAAGGAAAGAAGAAAGAAAGAGAAAGGAAGGAAGGAAGGAAGAAAGACATCACTCTGATAATGCAAAAATTTTGGAACCTACTACATTTGAATTTAAATGCTAAAAGCTATTTTCTTATAAAGTGACCAAAGGCAAGTTACTTGTTTCCTTTAACTTAATCTTTCTGACAACAAAAAGAAAAACCATCATTGAAAGAAACCCATGATATAAATATCTGAACTACTGGACTATATAAACATTTTAGATAGGACCACCAAAACATACATGGTGGCTCAATCTCTATCAACTTACCCAAACTATTAACCTTCTCTATATTTTACACTTACTTCCTTATTTAATTATAAAATACAGCAACAGTTATGCATCTGGGGCTGACAAGATGTTCAGCATGTACTCCCAGAGGACTTGAGTTCAGTGTCCAGCAATTACATAGGAACAATCACAATGGTCCATAACTCCAACTCCATGGGATCCAACACCCTTCTAGCCTATATAGGTGCCCATAATTGTGCTTGTATATAGACCCAAAAGATATACACGCACATAATTTAAAAATAAAGATAAAATATTTAATTAAATATCTATTCATATGTTTATTGTTTCAGAATACACTACCCAAAATCACAATGAACTAAAGACTAATGAGCAAAAGCATATGAGGGGAAAACTCTCCGATATACCCCAGAGCAAAATATATATCACATAGAGGTTAAGCTCCCTATTCTAAGAACACATTTCATAACTGATGACTGGGAGTGGCTGTTTAAATCAGTACTGACAAACTCACTGCATAGCCCTTATTATCAACTAATTTCTTTATGTCTCTTGTTCATGTCCCCACACATTACTTCTGCTACAAGGTTTCATTTGTCTCATGTGTTTCCCAATAATTATTTTTTGCTTAAAAAGCCTACTAGGATCTTGGTCATGGACATTTCTTTGGAGCTTCATGAAAGTTTTCATGTACAGGATACTAATGTTTTAGCTTTGCTCCTATTTACCTATTTGCCAATTCAATTCATCATGATCTCCTGATACAGAACTCCAGATAACAACATCAGACTTATTCATTTGCTTTGGTTCTAGCAGAATGAGTTACCATTGCCTGAGTTACAAGGTTTACTTCACAGACTGCAGCTGACAGTTTGGAGACATGAGAACCAGCAGAATGCAAGATACTTTACGACTCTGCATGTCCACTTGCTGAAGAGGAAACTGTCCCTCTGGCTCTGCCTCATCTGCGCTTTTAGAGTCTGTTATGCTGATAACAGCATCTGGAAACCTATGGACTTTTTATCTCTTCTGATGCTTCAATCACAAATGGACATGTGATTGCTATGGTGT